TTTAGTAAGATTGGCCATATCACTTCCCTCCTTTTAAATACTGTCCTTCTCTTTATTTAACCACAGATTGCATTCACCTTTTTAATGGCCAGATTTTCCAGGTGAATGGCATTGGTCTTATTCTCAGGCAAGGCCTATAATCTTTTTTCATAAGCATATTTCAGACAGAGGAAAAGCGGGTACGTGCGTCAGGGAATCTGAACTTACCCAGAAGTCCTAGTATACTACCAGTTACATCTCACCAGCCAGAAATGAACCATATTTCCACCCCCAGCTGCAAAAGAATCTAGAAAGATAAGTGGTCAGTTGGTCACATTGATATTCCAAGTAAGTCAGGGTTGTGTTACTGAGTAAACAAGAGAAGAATAGACACTGGATAGACACATAGCAGTTTCTGCTGTTATTTATTCAGTTGAGAAATTTTTCTTCTATTTTGCTAATTTTTTTTCAATGAATAGTTGTAAAATTTTATTTCACTAATTGTTGAGATTGATAATTTTTCTCTTTTAATCTGCTATTTTGGTGAATCACATTAACACATGTTTTCTAATGTTATAACACTTTTGATCATGATATTTTTGCTTTGTTTTAATATACTGCTAGACTTTGCTAATATTTTATTTGTATTTTTGCATCTATGTGCATAAATGAGAGAGACTTATTGTTTTTTCATTCTTTTCCTTGTATAGAATATCCATCTAGTTTGGGTTTCAGAGTTATACTATCTTCATAATGTTGGTTGGGAAGCTCTTTTTCCTTTCCTATTCTCTGGAACAGTTTGAATATAATAGAGATTGTCTCTGCCTCCCCTGGGAAGCCATCCAGCCTGAAATGGTCTATGTGCTATATGCATTTGATGCTTATATGTAAATATTTTACTAGGGATTTGCTTTCGTTTGTCATAGATCTATTCAGGTTACCTAACTGTTCTTGAGATGATTTTGATAATTTATATTTTTCTAGGATATTATCCACTTGGTCTAATTGTTCATTTAGTTGTTTATAGAATTCTTTTAAGAGTTTTTAATCTCTCCTTTATTGATAGCTATGTCCCTTTTTTCATTTTAATATATTTTTAATGCCTTTTCTCTTAGTTTTATGGTTGTCCCTTTTATTAGTGTTTTTCTAAGAATCAATTTTTATCAATTCTCTCAACTTCATTAATTTTTGTCTTTGATTGTGTTTTCATTTTACTTCCTTTGGGTTCCTTATTTCTTGACTTGATTGCTTAGTTCATTAATTTTCCATGTTTTCTACTTCTAATATATGCACATAAGATTCCGTGATTATTCACTTCACTAATTAGCACTCTTTGGGTATATTTGTTCAAAGAGTTACTAATATACCTCATTGTCCTTGTTTCCTGCCCATCACTCTCCATCCGGCCTATGAAGACATAGTGAGAGATTTGGCAGCTGCCTTGTCAAAATCCAGGTGCACTGCCTGCTGGGTTTCCCTGGTGTATTCACTTTAATAATCCCAGCAGAGGGAAAACAGAGGGTGGTCTGAATTGTTTTTAATCCTTACAATCACTGGTTTATTTTCTAAACATTCATAAATTATCTTTTTAGCACTTACTTTTATACCAGAGGTGCAAAGTCCACATTCTTTATCAAATATCAGCAATAGGGATACCTGTTTTCATTTGCAAAGAAGCTTTCTCTGAGTGCAAATGCAGTGGGTTCCCCCTGCTAGCTCAGAGCTGAAAGGTTGCTGTTCTTCCTTTCCAACAGCAGTGCTACCCTTTTTCATCTGAAATTTATTCTCTTTGACAGAAAAGACCAAAAGCAGATGAGATTTTGAGAACTTCTCATATCCTGTTTGTCCTTTCCTTTCCTTTTATTAGAAAAGGAGCTAAAACAGCATGCATGTTTGGCCTTGAACTGTTTTACAAACTACATTTCAGTCTTCAGTATTTCTACTGCTCTTCTTGCAGGCTGACTCCACCTCCTTCTATTTTAACAGATGCATTTTAAACTGTCTCATTGAAGATCTCCCAGTGTTACTGGACTTCTCTTAACCTGTCTACCTCAGTCTCTTTGTCTCTAAAATGACAGGGTTGGACTGGGGGATCTGTAAGGGCCAGTCTGGCCTAAAAGCTTGCCTGTTCTGCAGGAGAGCAGACTGCTTTGTTCAGCTCTGTGCTTCCATTTCTGAAACCCATTGATGTTCCCCAGAGAACCCTTTCTGTCAGTTATGAATTCTGTTTCAAAGCAGAAAAAAAGAAATTTTTCCTGAAGGGAGAAATTATACAAGTAAAACTTAATTTTTTTTTTCTTAAAATGGAAAGGGAAGTCGTTTAAGGGGAGCTGGAGGGAAGCCCCATGTTAGGACCATATGTCCTGGGGTCACATCCTTTCTCATCTACCAGTCAGGTGACCTGTGTGGCACCCCTCATACTCTGAGCCACTGTTTGATCTGCAACTAGTCAAAAGAAGATAAAGCTATCTTTCCTTTTCTGTTCAAAGGGTAAATGTGAGGGCAAAATAATGTGTAAAACACATGTAAACTATCAAGCGCTATATTAACTTAGGGTGCTATTATTACTGTAGAGGTTCCTATTCTCCATTCTTTTCCAAAAGAAAAAATGATAATACAGTGCAAATAAATTCTCTACTACTTTTCCTTTTGTAATCAAAATGAAAGTTGTCTTTTTTTTTTTTTTTTTGAGACAGTATCTTGCTCTGTCACCTGGGCTAGAGTGCCATGGCATTAGCCTAGCTCACAGCAACCTCAAACTCCTGGGCTCAACCCATTCTCCTGCTTCAGTCTCCCAAGTAGCTGGGACTACAGGTGCACACCACGACACCCGGCTAATTTTTCTATTTATAGTAGAGACAGGGTCTCGCTCTTGCTCAGGCTGGTCTCAAACTCCTGACCTCAAGCGATCCTCCTGCCTCGGCCTCCCAGAGTGCTAGGATTATAGGTGCAAACCACTGCGCCCAGCCAAAATGAAAGCTTTTCAGTGAGCTTTTTTTCTCCTCGTAACCGAATTATAGAATTTTGCTGATCCTCTGCTCAATTACAATGCACAGGAAAACCTTGTTCAAGTATAAAGCACCATTCAGATGAGAGGTGTAATTGTTTTTATTCTTCACATTTCATAGGGTGCTTTGTCTGTTATCTGTTGTCTGCTTGCTTTTCAGCATTTTACAAACGTGCACTCAAACACAGAATTCATTTTTTTTCCATAATGGAAGTTTCCTAATGAATGAAGTGGATGATTGTTTAAAGGAAACGATTGGTCTTTTCTTTACACAATTCCCATGCAGACATAAGCCAAGTTCCCTTTAGGCACCTTGAGACTTGCAAACAAGATTACAGAAAATAACTTTCCCACTACTCTCTGGCAAGACATCTAAACCAGATACCCCAACCACATGACAATTTGTCCTTGTACTGAGCAGCATAAGCAAGATACATGCTCTTTCTCCATGGCCTGCAATCTATCTATGTGAAATATTAATTTAATATACCATTGTAGACACAAATCAAGCATCTGACTAAGCTCATCATAAGTTGTCCATTCAAAGAGAAACGCTAACTTGGTAAATAGTTTTGTTAAACCTTCTCATCAGCTTCTCTCAGGAGACCTGAGTTTTAGGCGGCCTGCTGGACACTTGCCCCTGGATTTCCCACAGTACCTCAAACACTTGAGAAGATGAGATTCGTCATGTTCTTCCCCAAATGTGATCCCTAGAACATCTAGACCATGCTCCCATTTACCCAACCTACAGATTTTGACCTTATCTTGGGCAACTCTTTCATTCTTATTTCTCCACTTCTTCATTAGTCCCCTGTAACCTCTAGATTAGATTAGATTAGATGAGATGAGATTATTGTAGGAATCTTTGATTTGAGCTCCTGAACGGGTTTTCCTACCTCCAATTTCTGCCTCTCCAATTGGTCCTTCACACTGCCCCAGAATACAGGTTGGGCCATGATGATCCTTCATTGGCTTCTTATCATCTGTGAAGGAAATTGATGCTCCTTAGCATAAGGTTCAAGGCTGTTCATTATGGGTTTTTGTATTATTAGTTGGGAAGTATCCAACTGGAGGTTACAAGATACTTAATTAGAAGTGACTTCAACAATAAAAAATATTTATTTTCTCACCTAACAAAAAATTGAGAAGCCTCAGGATCCAGGACTGCTCTATTCAGAAGCACAGCATAGGCACCCAGTTGCTTTCTACCTTTCTGTTTTGTCATCATCAGCATGTGACTTTTTGTCCTCAGACCTCCCCGCCAACTTTGTGAACTCCAGTTGGCGCTGCAGCTCGGACATCACATCCTCCGTCACATAAACTTGCAGAAAAACACATCCTCTCCTCTCAGGGAAACCTGCCCATGAGCCCCCAGCAGATTTCCCCTTGCATCTCATTGACCAGGATTGCATCCCACATCCACGCCTGATCAGTCACAGGCAAGAGGATGGAATTACAGTGTTTGGCTTATAGGGATCAGTATTCACAACCTGGAATCGAGGCTCTTCCAGCAAGAAAGAAAGGAGGCAGGGGAGGAGTTTAGAGAGGCCAGCAACGTGGCCTTTGTTAGTACTACTGGTGGCTGCCAGGTGCCATCCTTAGCAGTCAGCCCCACCCACACACCTAAGGCTCCTGGAATGACCACCACTCTCAGAACTCAGTGTGTGCTTCATTATTCCATGGATCCCCTTTCTCCTCACCACATGCCTGCAGTGCCTTTCTCTGCCTTTAGAAACACTTGCCCCTTCACAGCCTGTTAGGTCCAAGCTTTTTCTGGGACATCAGTCAGTATGACCCCTCCACCAGGCATTGTGTTTATAGTGCCTGCTTCACTTTTGTTTCTTCGTGTCGATGTTATGGTTGTACACAGGGCTTCTATTCCAGTAGATTATGTGCTCTCTATTTTAGTGAGTCTTCTCCCTCTAATGGCCCTTATCACAATGGGTAATAGAATAATAAATGTTTGCTGAAATAAGATGAATGTGAATTAATATTACATTTGTTTGATTTGCAGGTTTGTGCTGCCAACATAGTATCCCAAGATGGTGAACAGAACGGTCTTATGGGGAGAGTGGACGAAGGTGTAGATGAGTTTTTCACCAAGAAGGTGACCAAAATGGATTCTAAGTGAGTCCAGAGTCATTTCACTAATAATGTTATTTAACTCACATTTAAATTACTAACAGTTGCAATTAAACTTAACATACTAAGTCTCATTTTTTATATGGGATTTACTAGTCTGATGGTTTATAAAACATGGTCTCCGGGCCAGCAATACCAGTGTCACCTGGGAACATGTTAGAAATACAAATTCTCAAGCCTGTCCCTTAGACCTAGTGAATACTCTGGCCGTGGCAGCAGGTTATGCTGAGGCATGCTCTAGTTTGAGAACTATTGTGCTCTTCTAAACTAGACCACAGAATATACCACCCTGAGGTATTTTTTTTAGGGCTTTATCACATTCACCCAGATGGCTCCATTACAGGAGTGATCATTGGCATGCTGGAATTATGTACTTTGAGATTTTCCTTGCTCATAAGTTGATATATTTTGGGAGGGGGCTAAGTCACTGCTAAATGGCATGATTGAACAGTATTAAAATGACAGCAGAATTAGTGAAGAAGCTTCAGAGTTAGCCTATAAAGAATTTTCTCTGCGTTTTTGTATTACTAAGAGTTTCCGTAGAAGACAGTTCAGTGGTACTTTTGTTAATAGTCGTTTCACTTGAAACACTCCGGTCTTTAAGCATGATTTGTACAAAGTTATTTAATCCCCAACTAAATTCAGATCCATCCCAAAATAGCTCTTGACATGGATTCGTGTCTATGAAGTATTCTTCACCTTGAGAGATCAAATTCAAGGAATGAATTTAAGCCATACTGATAAGCCAAGGGCAGCTGTCTGGACACAGGTAGGGCAGGAACTAGTCCATTCTGTAGATTGATGTGCCTTATCTTGCCTCAGCAGGAGTGTGAGATAGAAGTAAGTTAAATTTTTGTATCCATAATAGTGTAACTTACTGAATCTTATAAGCTTTAGGACCCAATTATTTGTCTTCTTTGACACTGGCCTTGAAGCTTAGCATATTATACTTGGCAAAATTCTATTCTCTTATCTTTCAAGAACCAACCTAAATGTCATTTATTCTTTGAAGCTTTCTCTTTACTTCTTCACCTCCCCCCCACCCAAATTAATTGCTATTTCTCTACTGCTGACTTAATACTTTTTTTCCATCCTCTGCACACATGTCTTAGAGCACACATAATCCTTTGAGAGTTTGATTTTTTTTAACAGCACAAAGAATAAATGAGTGTATATTCAGTGTAAAAGTATCAAGCAATACCAACATAAACAGAGCAAACTGGAAAAGTCCCTGTTGATGATTTGCTTTCAAGTCTTTTTTTTCCCAAAGAGAATGCTGTTCTTTAGGAACAATACCTGGTTCTTACTTTTCATTATAACTTCAGTGTCTAACACAGCCCATGATATATAGTCTACCTTCAATCACTGATGGTTGAGTGAATTGAGAACAATCTTGTTTCCATATACTCTACAGTTAACCCACTGTAGGCTCTTCTTAAAGTTTACAAATTTATATTTAGTTAGTGGGGCGGTTCATGAGCATTTGATCTGGACTATATGTATTTTTATACTTGCCCCTTTGTGATTTCCTCTCCTGTTAATGCTACTTTCTTCTTTAATAGTCTTTGAATGGAAATTGAGTAAATTGTGTAACATGTAAAATTCATTTTCTTCAAAGATACTGCTCTAGGAGGAGCCTGTTCATGTTCCAGTGCACAAATAGAGCTAGATACATCAATTTTCATCAAATAATGATGGAATCTAATAACAGTTGTGATTTTTTTCATTTTATTTTGTTTTAAAAGATAGACTGCTGTCAATCTGAGATTTAAAGGACAAGGCACAGGTGAAATCTTGGAGTAGTATGAAGAAAGTTTGAAAATCAAAGTTGTATATAGCACATGCTCATACTATAAAGTGCCAAATATTCTGTAAGACTTTTGAAAAAGTCTCTTGTTTCTGTCTCTACTCCCTATTCCCTGGAGGCAACTAATTTTTATTCCTCCAGCTATTTATTTTGCTTCCATTTACCTTAATAACATGCTTTCTTTCTTTTATGTGTTAATTCAGGTAATCTCTTATCTGAAATGCTTGTGACCAGAAGCAGATTGCAGATTTTTTTGGATTTTGGAATATTTGCATTATACTTACTGGTTCAGCTTCCCTAATCTGAAAATCTGAAATCCAAAATGCTCCAATGAGCATTTTGAGCATTGTATGGTACATAAGAGTTTCAGATTTTGAAGTATTTCAGATTTTGGATTTTCAGATTAGGAATATTCAACCTATATAGCTCCTATATATTCTGCTTCCACCACACACACACACACACACACACACACACACACACACACACTCTTTTCCTCTCCCCATCTTCTTTATTTAATTTGATCATAATTGTTGATGTCTTGGCCCATTTTCTTGTGCTATAACAATACCTGTGATTGGGTAATTTGTAAAGGAAAGAAGTTTATTTAGCTTATGGTTGTGGAGGCTGGGAAGTTCAAGACTGGGTGGCTGCATCTGGTCGGCTTCTGGTGAGGGCCTCTTGCTGTATCATAACATGGCAGAGAACCAGAAGGGGAAGCAAGTGCCTGCAGAAAGAGAGGAGGGGACAAGGGAGGTTGACCCACTTCCTAGCAAACCACTCTCTTGGGAATTAACCCATTCCCTTGAGAACTAATCCTGTCTCATTAATCCATTTTAACCAATAACCTCTTAAAGGCACCACCTCTCAACACTGCCACATTGGGGACCAAGCCTCAACATGAGTTTTGGTGGAGACAAACCATAGCAGTTGGTGAGATCAATATTTAGTGTTTGCTGCATTCTAACCATGTAAATATTCACATCTGAGTTATATAGTATGCCATGATTACATTTCCTTTCCTATTTCCTTCAGCTTTTTTTTTCCCCCTGTAGTTAATAATTGTCCCTTTTTTCATTTGCTTAGTTTTCTACCTTTCTATCACTGATTTATCCCTAAATCTACAGTAATGATATAAATCTCCTCTCAATTTGTTTAAATGTTCTGTTTTATCTTCCTAGACACATCTCTCATGAGTATGTGATCTCCCATGTGACTTCAAGGCCTATCCCATGGCTATCTTCTGGGGTCTCCTTCATCATCTGCTGGAGGATCCCCTTATCTCATTCCTGTCACTTTCCTATTTCCATTGGCCTATTGTCTGTCTTAGTTTATACCTTTGTTTGGGTAGAGTACCTCCTTGGGCTGCTTCCTGAGAAAGGGAGCATGGGAGGTGAGTTGCTATAACTTGTATATCTTTCATTTTGATTAATAGTGTCACAAGGTATGGAATTGTAGGTTGGAATCCATTTTACCTTAGAATTTTGAAAACTTTGCTCCATTATCTTTTAGCTTCTAATGTTGCTAGGGGAATCCAATGTCCCCTTGAGTCCTGATCTCTGGAAGCATATGGGATCATCTCTGTGTTCTCAATGTTTGGAAATTTTATGATGATGTGCCCTGGAGTGGACTTTTTATTTTTTATTTTTTCAAACCAATTTGCTGGGCACTCACAAGTCATTTTCAATTTGGAAATTCATGTCCTTTGGTTCTGGAATTTTTCTTGAATTATTTCTTTCCTAATTTCTTCCCTTTACCTCTACACTCTTCTTGTAAACTTTGATTATTCAGATTATGTATTTTCTCTATTAATCCACCATCTCTTACCTTTTTAATGCTGTTTTCTCATTCTTTGTATTCCCTTTCCCCTACTTTCTGGAATGGGCCACAAACGAGCTTCTTGGAAGTTTGTGGGTAGGGCTTGACGACTGGTGGGCTTCAATGTAGGGTAGGGTCTTCCTGGACCATTTTGTTGGGGGAGGGTGGTCTCCCTGATTCTCAGAATCTTTAGATCTTTTCTCTTGGGCTTTAGAAACTTTGATCTGCCTGGAGGGTGTAAACCTGCCTTCCTGATTCTGGCATCCAGAGTGAGAGAAAGGGGGTAGAGGATATCCCTCTTTTCCACACAGGCTTTCTTGAGCCTCCCTGGTTTTATTTCCTACACTCAGCTCAGCTTGAGGTAGAATGGACATCATTGGCTCTGTGGTTTGGAGAGAGAATCTAATGGTTTTGTGAACGGGCTTTACAGAGAAAAGAGTCTTCCTCTCTTAAGCTCCCCCTTCAGTTCCACTTCCAGAAGTGCCTGCTGCTCCTCCTCTGGAGCCAGCCAAATCCACTTGCTTCTGGGCCTTTCCTACTCTCAGCTTAAGTTTCAGCTTCCTCAGATCTATTATGTCAATTTTCATTCATACGCCTGTGTTTTAGCTTACAAATTCTGTTGTTTTTGCCTTTCCTCCCCTGTGGGGCTTATGCTTTTTTTTTTTTTTTTTAATTCCTTGCTGTTTTTTTAATGGAGATTCAAGGAAGCTACATGGGTATTCCGTCTGCCAGCTTTGAATGGGAGGCAGTTTGTGCTGCCTCCTACTTAGCTCATTTTGTTTACTCTTTCTCCCCTTCCATTTCTCAAGTTTTAGTACATCCTCTTTCTCAAAACTCTGTCCCAATGTAACCTAAACATCTGTATCCCCATAATATGCTGAAATAAAAAAAAATAGAAAACTCTGTCCCAAAGCTCATTCTCTGGCTTTGCATATTGTTGCCTCTTTCAGTGATATTACATTTAAACAAGTGGATTGAGACTAAGGGTGGGATTGCAGATGTTATCTAATAATTATGGAAGGATTGTCAGGCGATTATGGGGCAATCTGGCTCTTTCTGGTGTCCCCCAAGTTAAATAAGGTAGTCACCCAGCATGTCTCAAGTGAAGCCAGCTTTGCTGGAGGTTCTCACACAGAGAAGCCCTTAACTAGAGCATTTAAATATTTAAAAAACTCACCTCTGTTCCCAGTCCTACCACTGACACCTTTAGATTCTCATTCTTAATGTGTGTGTGCCTCAGTTTCCTCACGTGTGGAGATGATAAGATTCCACATTCCTTCTTACTTCCTAAGTGAAATAACTCAAATCAACATTCTTAAATGCTTCAGAATGTTTGCTGTATATGCAGCAATCTCCATATTTACATTTTGACTGAGTCCTGCTGAACCTTATTTACAGTAAAACCCACAGGATCTGTGTTTTGGTTTGAAATGCAGGAAATGGTCAACAAGAGGCTCAGAGTCCCAAGAGCTTAGTGAAGGAGGAGATGAAAAGAAAAAGCGAGATTCTTGGAAAAGTGGTGGCTTTCTCAATTTAATCAAATCCCGGTCCAAATCAGAGCGGCCACCAACAGTCTTGATGACAGAAGAACCCTCCTCCCCGAAAGGGTCAGTCAGAAGTCAAGCTGTGGACACTCCCAGGAAAGACACAAAGGCAGCCGAGCACATTGGCAGTTCTGAACAACGGATAGAGGAGATAAAAACACCTGACTCCTTTGAAGATAATCAAGGGGAAGAAACCGGGAAGGTGGACCGGAGTGACAGCAAGAGCAGCCCGCAGGGTGGGCGAAGGTATGGGGTGCAGGTGATGGGCAGTGGACTGCTGGCAGAGATGAAGGCCAAGCAAGAGAAGAGAGCTGCTTGTGCGCAGAAGGTAAGGGTGGGCTTATATCTGTGTATGTATTTGATGTATGATAGATGTACATGTTTTCAGGGTACATGTGTTATTTTGATATATTCATATAAGGTATAATGATCAAATCAAGGCATTTGGGCTATCCATCACCTTAAACATACAACTTTTCTTTATGCTGGGAATATTTGAATAATTCTCTTCTACTATTTTGAAATATACAATAGATTATTGTTAACTGTAGTTACCCTACTGATACATCAAATGCTAGGTCTTAATTCTTCTAACTATATTTTTGTACCTATTAATCAACCTCCTCCCCCCTACCCTTCCCAGTCTCTGGTAACCACCAATCTACTGTCTAACTTCATGAAATATAAGAGTGGGTTTGCTTTGACTTGGTTGTCCTTGTTTGAGATTTTGCCCCCCCTCCACTCAGTTTTTGGGCAAGAGAGGAATAGAAAATAGCCTGTTGGTTACATATGTTAGAGCCGGTTCCCCTTGGCCCCAGGAACAGAGAGGCAGAGTCACCGAGACTGCAAATGGCAAAGGAGTTTATTGGCTAGCTCGACCTAGGGTCCAAGTCCCAGAGCACCAACACAGTGGCCTCTCCTATGAACCAGGACAAGACCCCACCCTGGGGTAAAAGTTAAGCTTTTATACCTTTTTTTGTTTTACACACGACACTCAGGTTTCACACGACACGCTGGGCACACCTTCCCCCCTCCCCTCCTTAGTTCATTGGTTCCTTTAAAAGTGGCTGACCGTGTTGGCTCCTGATTGGTTCCTGTAAAAGTGGCTCCAAGCCTCAGGATTTTCACACCGGCGCCAGTTGTGGTCAGCATCATTTTGGGGGGAAAGGGCTGCGTCATTTCGGGGAAAACGAAACTTAGGCCTACTCCAGGAAGTTCAGCCTGTCATGGAGTCACTCCTGCTCTTATTCCTCTTTTTCATTCTGATTAACTATATTTAACAAACAGCTAAAAGCAAGCATGGTCACAGAAGCAAATAGCATCAGTTAGAATCAGAGAGAGCACATTTTTCTCTAATCTCAAACAATTCGTCTCACACAAAGCAAAGTACATTCTCCTACTATCAATTCCTGTTTTTCACATAAAAATGCCAAAACAAAAGACTTATTCCTGAAGCACCTGGAGCACAGACCATGAAGGCATGGCCATGTTTTCACTTTGGCCCCAGCATCATGCCCTTGTGCAGAGCCAGCGTTTGAAGGTAGGCCATTGGCTTTGAAGATGCCGGCCTTTTCCCACCTGCCCAGGTGCTTCCTGTGCCTGTCATGCAAGCATGTGAGAACTGTTCAGGGAAAATACTCACATCTGGGGGAAAAGACTGAGTCAGCTGAATCCAAATGGAGAACTAACAGAGGCAAATAAAAATACTGAAACCAGGTTAAAATTATATAAAGGTAGAATTTATTTTCCAGTTATTTCATAATTTATTTCCTTTTCCAAACCCAGAAATTCTTGCTATATTCCAGATTTAAAAGACAAGAAAAAAAGGTCAAGATATTCTGTTAGAATTAATTGAATACTTGACCATTGGTATCTGTTGTCTATAGCTACAAAGAAAAACTTTGTGGTTTAAAAATTGCTGAGTTCCCCCCAAATCTGATGTAAAACATTATTTATTCTTTTTTTTTTTTTTTTTTTGAGACAGGGTGTTGCTCTGTTGCCTGGGCTAGAGTACAGTGGCATCATCATAGCTCACTGCAACCTCAAACTCCTGGCCTCAAGCAATCCTCCTGCCTCAGCCTCCTGAGTAGCTGGGACTACAGGCACGTGCCACCACACCCAGCTAATTTTTGTATTTTTTGTAGAGATGGGGTCTTGCCCTTGCGTAGGCTGATCTCAAACTCCTGGCCTCAAGTGATCCTCCCACCTCGGCCTCCCAGAGTGCTAGGATTATAAACGTGAGCCACCAAGCCTGGCCCATTGTTTATTCTTTGAATCTCCTTTTAAAGTAGAAGGTTGTCTTTTTTCTTTCTTTTTTATTAGCTCTATTTTCTCCTGTAGCTACTAGGACCATATCCTTATGATCACTAAGATGAATGTTACCATGTTCAACTCAGGTTTTGGTCTCTGTCCATTATCCTGAGTTTTTTTACTTTAACACAGCTGGTTCTCCGAAGAAAGGAAAATTGCACATCTATTTTATTTGAAGTATCAAAATGAAACAGTTCACACCATGAACCCTTGGTTTTCAGGAAGTAATGGTACACTACATACCAGGTGTAGAGGATTCTTTTATATTACTTCTAAACAACTGATTGTTGTTGTAGTAAATCCTGCATCCCACATAATTTTACAACTGTTCACCAAAGTTCTCCCATCAACACCAACATTATCTAGCCATTCTCTAGTTACGGATTACTCCTAATTCACTCACAAACCCTTAAAGCACAGTTGGGAGAGACCATGCAACTATATTCTGCTAATTTAACAAAAAGGACACATCACGTGGCCTTCACTGGTTGGAACAACTACAACACCATCATTAGTGAGTCAGATGCCCAGGGAAATGTTTTAAACTTTAATCCATTTTGTGAATTTATAGCAATGTGTGCTATTTTCACTAATGTACTTTTTATCATTGTTTCCAGTGATGAACAGCTTCTTTTTGGTGGGAAGATGAGAAACGCTAGCGTATTTTATTTATATACTTTGGATTTGATATGTAAATTGGCTCAAAGTGACAAAATCCTTATGGTTTAGCATTTATGTTTGTTCAGGGTTCGCGTAGTACCAACGATCTCTTAGCGCCATCTAGTGTCTGCCTATTTATTTATTTATTTATTTATTTATTATTTTTATTTTTTTTTTGAGACAGAGTCTCACTCTGTGGCCT